TTTCCTGCCTAAACAATTTATAACTAGCAATTTTTACATTCCAGTCATGCGAATGAACCCACCAGGTTTCAGTCACACCAATTATATCATATTTCTCATAATCCAGCAAGAATTCCCAGTTCCTCTTGCTTTTATCTATATACTCAGAAGGTGCCTCTCCCCATTCCCTCTCTCCGGACAGCGGTGAATCACATACGCTTACTATCACACGCTGGGGGGAGAGAGGGGTGATGCAGTACCACTCTGGATCTGTGAAAGTGTTCAGCAAGTTCATGTCTGTAGGTGTTACAGATTTCTTAATTTCTGCAGGATATACCTCTCTCATTCTCTGTCTCCTTCTCAAATATACATTTAATGTCCATATTTATGTCCCGTTTCGATGCATCCTTACATACGATGTAAGTTCCACTCTACCGTTTACTCCTTAAAGAGTGCTAAGGAATATGTGGTACAGAGCATACAAAGAGCTTCAAACCCCTTACCCTCAAAATATAATTCCAAGAATACGAAACAAGCCCATGCATACCCATTCCTCATCTCCCTGACTTCCATGGAGCGTGGTGAGCAAGATGGAAAGGCTCATTGTTTTTTTAATGGGACAGTATTATTAAAAAGCACCCAGGCAACTAGATTGTCTGTTCATTAGAAACTAAACCAAGATCTGAGTTCATGGTTTTTTCTATTAAAATCAAAGCAAACACATTATTGACCAAAATTAGCTAACTTGTTATTGCTTCCCCGCTCTCAAACACCTCTCTGTGTTAGGATGTGGCATCCCACCTTACCTACTTCATGGGTTAATTCTTTCATGGCACATATGTCCCTGCGTCATGCAGTCTACCAGCTAGTTTACCACTGCTGCTATTAGCACATCTCTTGTCTGGTGTCCCGTGAGGTGTCCAGGACTGACACAAGCACAGACGTAGACTGCAGGTGTGAAGTAAGATATGCACTCAAAGTCATACTCAAAAAGAAATGAAATGATGGAGAGCTTGACTCTGGGATGCCTGGCCACAGCCAAGGAATTCATGGAGGAGGCAGCAAGTGCCCTGTGCAGTGTGTGAGTGCAGAACTGGACTCGTGGCCAGCATGAGGATGGAGCTCCTGGAGTACGCTTCAGCTTCATCCCCTTCTGGACAGGAGGTGCATTGCTCTTACAGAGGGTACCTCCACCCATGAGGGATCCAAAGCATTGAACCCACTCTGAAAAAGAGAGCCTTCATCCTCTTCTTGGTAGACTGGGATTCAGGATATTTTTGAGTCAGAAATTGTGCTAAATAATTACAGGACTTGCCCATCAATGAAATATATATGCTCAAATCCCTCTATTCCCAGAGGGGATTCACAATTACATTTCTCAGATGCTAAATGCTTTTTGGATTCTTTAGCCATCCTAGACATGCTGGATAAAAATGAACTCTAGATTCACAATTTATTTCAGACATAATCACAGCATTCAATCTCTGTTAGAGATGTCAGAGAAAACTAGAAATCTGCAACAAGATGAAGGCCTGCCTCGCTGGTCTCTGTGCAGAGGGGGTATGGCGTGCTTTTTGCACCTCTGCCTCTGGAAGCTAAATAGACATTTCAGATATGCAGTGAGAAGATACTAAAAAAATGTTTTTGATTGCAGCCTGAGCCCCAGCTCCTCCAGCCAACTGGGAGCCCTACAATCCTGTCTTTTGTTGCAGTACCACCCGTCTGGGAACTGGTCCTGTGGTGCCTGCGCCACAAGATCGGCTGTGTTTCAGCTGCACCGGTGAAGACAGCAGAAAGTTTTGACAGTGCCATGACTGCAGGGAGAGAGAAATCAAAAGCCTGGTGGCTCGATGAAGAATGTGGCTCACGGCTGGGTGTGGCAGGAGTCTCAGGAGGATTTTGACAGCATCACAGCCACAGAGAGTGTTACTGGCATTCATGTGCTCCTGGTGGGACTCATATTGCTTAGCTTCAGCCATTGTCAGTGAGGAGCCAGGGACAGGTCCGGAGCTGTAGGACTGGTGCTGACCATCGATTGTGGCCAGAGGTGTGAGGCTATGGAGTGGCTACTGAAAGGACTTTGCCTGGAGGAAAGCTGTTGTTGCAGTCATTCTCAGGATGCTATTAGTAAAGCTTTAAGAAAGATGTTATTGAAAGTATGGAGCGCATTCAAGCCAGGGATTTTGACTAATTTAATACAGTACTATCTGTGTGCTCAGTGGTATTTTCTGAATGTTCTCCTGCCACCGTAGGGCATTTATGAACCAGATGGTGACTGTATGACTCGTGATACCTACAGGACCATGGGCAGTAAGCGTGCTGTGGATGGTGTGGGGAGCCTAAGGGACCGATTGCTCACAGACACACTGGCTGTTAGGGGTGTACATGATCACAGTGCTAGCGCCTCACTGCCCTGGGGCTCAGAGAAAATGATCACCAGTCAGGCTGCAAAAGGCCATGACAACATGCTCACAGTCTGGTATTACAAACCAGTAAGTCTGGATGAAGACCTTTCACAATTAGTTTATGTTGACATTCTTAGGGACAAATTTAGACCCAGTGTCCATTATATCATTCCCGTCCTTACTAGAAAAAACTATGGCAAGTCCTGAAGGAGGTAGCTGTCTGCCTAAGCCCCTCGATCCCCATACATGGCTGGATTCCTTCTAAAGGCTGGTCACCGCTGCTCTGCTGGCTGAGGAGCACCTTTCACCAGGGTAGTGTTTCTAGGAAGAGGAAACAGACATGTGGCTGCTGTGGCAGTGTGGGGAGGGAGAACAACTCCTTCTCTCTTGCTTTCCCCACAACTTTCTGAAGCTGGCTTACAGCTATCTCCTGAAATCACCCACTACAGCACAGATTTGTTTACCCAGCACAGATCACTGTATTTCTCTTCTCCCACAGATAACTCAGTTTTCTGAGTGGGCTAGAGTCACACAGTTACAAGTTACCTCACACATAAATCTTGGCTTGGAAAGCTTTCAATATCTGCCCGAAATTTGAGCATGCTTGATTGTCCCAATCCCAGCTAAGATGCTAAAAAAGTCGGAGACTCTTAAGCTGCTCGTTCAGGCTGCTGTGGCCTAAGTTTATTTCCAAATCAGTAAGACAAATAATCTTTTTTCTATACTTTTTTTCTAACATCAAGAGGATTACTCTGCTACACTCATTTCGGCATGGAGCTGTTTATTGCCAGTCCCAAGGCTGGAGTTCACGAACTTTCCTTTTTATACCTCAAATTGAATTTTAATGACCAACTAATTCTTGAAGCACTGTCCTCAGAAATACCAGTGAGCATACACAGCACCTTGGGATGAAGTGGACTGGGAGCTGCTCCCCAAGCTTGCCCTACTTCATAGCACATTCTTACAGAGTAGTTTTACCAGGATCTCATAAACTTCCCATTATCAGGGAGGTTGTCTCCTCAGAGACACCACGCATGGGGTGATTAGCTTCCTCTCTCCCAACAGCGGTGAAGGACTGACTCCCCAGTCTGTTCCCTGGGTAAAGGCAGGATAGCATGGGAACAGCCCAGCAGATAGGAACCAGCATCCATGAGCCATCATTGTCCCTCTCATGCGGTGTCACATTTATAAACTTTATTTTCCAGTCACCTAATCTAGAAAAAAAGTTCTTTCAAAAGCAGAGTTAGGATGTTAGCTCTACCAGAGGTCTGGGAGCAGGGACTGTCAGTTTGCATCCGCTGAGACTTGATCCAGTCCCACGGCTGCTACCTGCCATCCACCCTCCAGTGTTTTACTTGTTGGTAAGTGCCAGGGTAGAGCAGAGGAAATGAACGCACTGGTGAGCTGGAGAGATGTCTTCTTGAGTGGTTCTCTGCAAGTAAATTGCTGAACAGGGAACAGAAATGAGCTTTCTTGTGTCCGGTTGTGCCCTTTAACTGCCATTTCTCTACTCCAATAAACACACAATCCAGCCCCTAGGAAGGGTTTGTGGGTGGTCATTTCCTTAAGGGATGCCAGAAAAGAGGCAGTCTAGGCTACAGCCTGGTAAAAACTGTGACCTTTGTGCTTTCCCCATCATTCAGACCACTGCCCTAGGGGTTATTTAGGGGGCAATCACAATCGGATGTCAGAACCTCCTTAGCAACTGCCAGCGCTGCCTGTTGTGCACCCCATGGAGCAGCTCCCATCGGGAAGCGCTGACAAGTCCCTGGCTGCAGTGCCCATGAGGGTAGCACATCCTGCTTATCACAGGTTCGGCTGGCTTTCCAGCACAGACCCTGCATCAGCGAGCAGGTAAACAAGCAAATCCTTGCTCTCACTGGAAACAGGTTGCTTTTCAACAAAGAACTGTTAAAATCCTGCCTCTCTCTGCAGGGTGAATCTGCTTTAAGATACAGCACAGGACAGCCTGCCTGTGTTTTTATCACACTGAGCAAACACAAAGCAACACAAGCTGGAAGGAAGTTGTTTTATACTTACCAGCAGCATTGATATTTTCCTCACAGGAGTACCAGATCCCAGTGTGGAAATACCTGAAAAGGAAGCGGTCATCTCCCGTCTCCCAGCTGTAATGAACCACATTCTGGTTTGTCTCGTTTGCAGTCTCATTCCCGCTGTAGTTGAGGCAGTTTGTCTTCTTCTCTTTCCCGCAGCTCGGCTTGGGGACCCTCTGTGTGCCCTCACACCAGTGGGTCGTGATAAAAGCTGTTGTAGAGAAGAGGAGAGCCATCAGATTCAGACTCACTGCTAGCAGGGCTCTGCATCTTCGATTTGTCTTCATGGTAAATCCACCCTCCCTCCCCCTCCTGCTGAGAGAAGAAGTCAAAGGGTTTTGTTTTATTTGGAAGGGGGGGAGTTCAAAGCCTCTCACGATTCAGAATCCAGTTTTCCAGGCATCAAAACTCTCAGCTTCTTCCAATCTATTGTTGTAGCAGTGAAGGAAACGCTGCAGCCAGACTCCCATTCTTCTCCTCACTTGAAACCCTGCCTTTGTACGTTAAAGGAGCAGCTGCAGGCGCGGGAGTGCGGCCGTCCTCTGGTAGCCGGTGTGCTTCAGCGCGCTGACGGGATCAGAGAGGGTCTGTCTCGCAGAGCGCACCAAGAGTGAGTGAACATCTGCTCGGGTACCACACATGATCCCAAGGGGCTCCGCAGCCTCCTCCGCCGGGAGACACCTGCAGGCTGCGGGACTGGCGGCCCCTGCTCCCGGAGGACGAGGCAGGAGGAACCCAGCGGGAGGCGGGAGGCAGGGACAGCTGCTGCCTGTGTCACTGTCCTTGGCAGACCTCAGGGACCACTGCAGCACGCTGACGGCTGGGTTGGACTGGGGGGAGGCGTCACATCTTAGTCCCAAATATCATCATTGTTTGGAACTGCGAAATACTCTTTTTATGTACCAGAGGGCAGAGATTTGTCCAGGAGGAGGAGGGATGAAGTGGTGCTTTGGCTCTTCTGCTCTGAGCTGGTGAGTGGTGAGGAATCAAGGGTTTGATTCTGCTGTCACATGCCGGTGTAACTTTCTGTCTTCAGAGGCTTGCTCTGGCAGTCAGCAAAGCCCCAGAGGAATTTAGATTTGAAAGGGGGTGATGAATAAAACCTGCGTCTTTCACAACACCAAGTGGAGCCCCTTTCTCAAGCTTTCATTTCCAGACACAGCCCACACTGATGTTCGGCTTGAAGAGGGTCTGCAGGACATTTTCTGGGTCCTGGTTTGTGCAGATGGAGAGAACTAATTACAGCAAACTCTGGCCTTTGCTCGCCAGCGGGCAATGCGGTGAGAGCAGGGAGCACTGCAGAATATCCCATTTCCAAAGAGAAGTGTGTTGTCCTATCACGTTGGTTAGCTGACTCGTAGAGTTTGTCACCTCTTTCCACATTGCTCAGAGCTGTACCTGAATACTGAGTGCTGTGAGGGCACCTGCTGTTGGTGGCGGTACAATCTGTAAGACCTTGTATCCAGGTACTGAGGTTGGCCACATTCATCACACAATGGTTCTGTGTCCTTAGCAGATTAATGCAATTTTCCATGGTGAAGAAGTTGCACATACCTCCTGGGCTGTGGACTGAGTGATGTTTCCTTACAGCCTTGTCTGGACTCCCTGCAAGGGCCATGGGGATGCTTGTGGCCCTCGGAGCAGTCCAGCAGTGGGTTTCCATGAAATAACCATGCAGCCACACAGGCTCATACCAACAGGTGGGACAATGCTCTCATCTCACACCCCGTGCTCTGTTAAGTCCGCACATGGACTCAACACGCAAAGCTCATCCTATGCCTTACTGCCCACAGACATGAAATGTGGTGGTAATTTCTCCATCTCCTTAAAGAAAGCCAGGAAGGACCAGGTGGAGCTTCTCCTTAGCAAGCCACCACACAAGACTTCAGGGACCCGTTCGTGCCTCCCTGATATCCCCCTCACAGGTAGCCACAGGACTCTTTAGTATGCGTTTTGTTGGTGCCTGTCCTCCAGGTCTGGTTCCAACTATTTTTGAGATTTTTCATTATTTATATGGGCTTACTTGGCTTTAGCCATTTTGTTTTATAAATGAACTAGAAAGTCACTAGAAAATGCTGCTCTGTGAGAACAATTGTGATGGCAACTTTGCAAGGCTAGGGAAGTAGCTTTGTACTGCAGACACTCCCCTTCCTAAGCAGCCTTCATTTTGCCCACTCCTGCCTGCACATGATGATTCCTCTCTCCTCAGTGTCAGATTTTTCCAGTGCTAGCAGAGTGCCTCTGTGCACAGCCTTCCTCGTCCTGTTGGCATTGCACCACACCTCTCCATGTTCCAGTTCTTTCGGCATTTCATCTTGCTGCAAATAATCGACATTATTTGGTTGGTTTTAATTGCATGCAAGAAATACAGGTGATAGCTATTTAGAGGACCACAGGATTACTACTTCAATTATTTTTATGTTTCAGGACATTCCACTTAGAAATGTGTGTGTACATGCCTGTGTTTCTCAGGCTTATCTCCCTGCTTAGAGGAATGAACAATGTAATTTAAACTATGACAGAATGCCTCCACAAGAAAGCTAGCGCTCTCCTTCAGGGTTATCTTTCAAGTGGCTGTCAGTATCTGAATCATCACACTTTTCCAAGTGTGAATACAGGTCTTTACAGGTCTTTTCTCACAAATCTTCTCTATCTGCTGTTCTGTGGTTTATGTTTTCTGGTCCTGGCATCAACATCTGCACACCGTTCCTCCTTGTGCCCATTTCCCTGAGGGATGGGCATTCAAAGAGTTTGGTTATCTGTGATAATTTTGTCCTAAATACTTATGAGATTTTGTTTTTACTCCTAATCTTAACAGATATTTCCATTTCTGTTCCTCCTTATCGTTTTTTTTCAGGCTGACAGAGCTGTTGAGAACAGAAATTGTGGCAGTATATTAAAAAAAAAAAAGGCAAAATAAAGTATAAATTTGCTTTGTTTTGTGATATAGAGCTTTTAGAATCTCAAACATTTAAAAATATTTAGCACAAAGTAAAGTATGCTCAGATTCAGGGAAATTTTTAATACAACTTTTTCTCTTTTTCCTAACAGAATTCAGGTTTTTCCTAATTATTAGGCTCCTCTGGCTGTATATGTTGGGATTACTTGAAAAGAAGGAAGCTAGTCTGTGCTGTACTCCTGCTGTAATGCTCCAACCATTTCTCTTTATATAATCTCTGTTTATCAGATTTGCTGTGTATAAAAAAGGAAAGATCATACATATGTTGCAGAAGGCAGTTCAGATGCCTGGATTAAGTTGTATTTATGTGGTATTATCTTTAGTATTAAAGCAGAAGGGCTTGACTAGTATAGAGAAGAAGGTTTCATACTGTAGCCTTTAAAATCCTTTTTGCAGCAATAGCTTTCCTCTGATTGTGAGAAAAACTACCTTCATGAGCTATAGCTAAACCCCTTTTCCTTCACTATTTCTTACAGGATCAGTGGAAATTGTTATTACTCTGCGTTTACTCTAGTGAAAAAAAGTTTGACCCAGAAGATTTAAAATAATGATAGCATTTGCGAAGGAACCCTTTCAGTCAGGCTGTTTTTCACTAGTGGGAAACAGAAGCACCATTCACTGAAATGCGAAGCAGCCCTACCTTTGGGTCCTCTGGTGATGATGGGGGCATGGTGGCCTTAGTCTGGTTGTTTATTTGATACCAGCAGTGTCAACTGCATGGAATTATATGCTAGTTTTAAATCAACATTTAAAAAACCCTATAGGTTTTCTTTAAATTCCCATTTCTTACAGGCGTCCTCATGTGTTTGCACTGCCTTTTTCAGGTGTCACAGGGCTGGGCTTCCCAGTTCTTCCTTCCACCTTGGGTTGGACCCCTCCTGCTAGCTTGTCTTTGCTTTTCCTCAGCACCTCAGAGTCACAGAATCCACTGGTTCAATTCATTCATCTTGTGAATGGTTCAAAATCTCCTTTTCTAGTCTGAATTTTCATCCCTTGACATAGAGATCTGCATAGCTCGTATTTCTTTGTTCTCTTACCGTGACAAATATGAATTCTTGGTGTGCCCCCAATATACTTCCTCTGTCCCCACTCTGTCCAGCAAAATGGCAACTTTTTCCTGACCTCTGTCACTCCACAGGATTGACTTTCGTATTTGGAGAAGAGGGCTAGGGTGGAAATGCTCTACATACTTCCCCCAGATCACCACCATGTACATTAGCCAACCCTGTATAGTTTGTCTCCTTTCCATTCCATATTTAGGCTACCTTCTGCTGTTTTCACCTAATTTTTAATTTTTTTACTCAGAACTCTGACCCAAAGTAGCCTGTGTTCAGCAGTGATGCTTAGCACTCCCAGCCCACAGGCCGAGCGGTACAATCCTGCTCACCTAAGTGATGCTGCTGAGAGACGTTTCTGACTTTTTTACCCAGATAAAGCCTTCAGCAAGTGGACAGTCCCAGTAGGGCGTATTTGAAGGTGGGCTGAATATTGATACCATCTGAAATCTTGGTCTCCAGTTTAACTTTCAACTTGAAGTGTGTCTTTCATGCGTTTTGCTTGTGGGCATTGAGTCAAGCTCAGGAAATTCCTCTTGTTCCTAAACTGAGCAGGTAAGAAATGGTTTCTGACAGTACTGTAGTGAAGACCTTCAGCAGCCTTGACAGAAAGGAAAGCAGTAAAACAAACTGATGATTCTCCTCTGTTTTCCCCGTAACTGAAGCTACTATTTCCCTGGTCTTGTGTCACTGGTCAGTAGGCCAGTCATTCCCAACTCTCCCTTCAGAGTAGCTGGTCTGCATATTGTAATCAGCTGTCGGTGTGGCCCGTCCTCTCTCGGGCACCAGGACTGTGCCGCTCTCAAGCTGGATCTAGAGGCACTCTGTCTCCTGACAACAGCTGGGGTCTCTGCAGCTCTCTGGTTTGCAGTCTGTCCCAAACAGAGTTAGATTCATCGTTCAGCACCGTAAAAACCGCATGGTCCAATATATTTGTAATAGGACCGGGATGATAACAAATTTGCATTTATCTGGTATCTGCACTTAATTTTTCCAGCAGCCGATGCAGAGGAAGGGAGATGAAAAAAAGTGACAGGCCTGAGTCATCCTGTAAATCACGTCTAGGAGAGCTGACTGGCTAAGGTGCCTGAAAAGTCAGCCCAAAAGGTCAAGGCTGAGCAATGGAGACACTCCCGGTACCATTCCCAATAGGTCATTTGCACATGTCCACCTATTCTGGGAGTGAACAAAATGTAATTGTATCCTACTTTTGTCCCTGTATTAGGTATTCTTCTGTCTTGGAGTTACAAGATTTCCTCACAACCAAGATGTA